AATAGGTTGCATGGTTTGCGTGCCTTGTGTTTTGTTTTTTTTGTTTGTTTGTTTTGGTTTGTTTTGTTTGTTTTTAAGGAACCTCTGGCTTCTCCCTGTGTTTCTGGATGGAGGAAAAGGAAGCAGCAAGCTCAAAGCTTTGCCTCCATCAGCTTCACAAACTTGAGCAATGCTTTAGAAAGGAAGCCAGGTGAATCACCTACCATAGACTACTGCTAAGATATCAAAACGGCAGCAACAAACGTTTCTCTGCCCTTCAGATGAAAACTATCCATTGCTGTTGGCTTGGGTTTTGCTAGTCAAGGTGGTAAGACAGATGTTGGTATCAGAGGCATGCAGTCAGCAGCTCTCCAGAAGCCAACATGCTGAGGCCATCAAAGTGCTTTAGAGATGCTGTTTCCAGTAGCTGTGACATCTGAAAGTAATAGTATGCCAAGGATCAGAACAATCCTCACTATATTCCTATCATTGTCATTTCAGCATTGTTTGCTTTCAGTTGTAAAAAAAAAAACAAAAAAAAAAACACAACTGAAAAAAAAAACCAACAAAGCCCCCACCCCTTTACCACTTGGGCATCTCATCTGGCGCTAAAGGAAACTGCTACTCCCTCTCAGAAATCAGAGTCAAAAAGAATTCATTAGTTTGCTCCCTCACCACCACCCACCTTTTCTCACATTTCATGGAGAACACTTGCAATCAAATTTCTAAGGCAGCGAGTAAAAAACTTGCAGTTTTTGTTCACAGGCCTCCCCTTCCTTCCTTCCACCCACAGCCTTGAAGGGAGCAGCTACAGCTGACTGGGAACAGGGACCCACAGGCAGAGCAATGCAGCTCGCTGTATGTGGGCTCTCACTTGGGCCAGGTGCCCTTGCATTCACATCACTTAGCACATCCAAGCTCCCACGTCAGCTGATCTTGGGATGTTACTGAGATAAATTAAACTGCTCTGATTAGAGAAATGTAACTGAAATGCCAAAGCAAAATACAAACTGGACTTGCCATTCCAGCCTGAAGATGCAGGCTTTACAGCCTCTTCGCTCATTTACTTCGAGTTGCCCAAACTTAACTGTGCTACATGTAGGCAAAATTCTCTTGTATCCCCCCCAAAAATGACACCCAATATTCTTATCCCAGGATTTGCACAGTTCAAATCCTTTTTCTGTTCTTGCTATTAATTCCTTTTTTTAAAGCAAAAAAAAAATAATAAACAAAAATGCCTGTCTCAGAAATCTACACTACTAATTTCTCTGACAATGTATCTAAGTAATTAGAAGGAAAAAGATGGCTTGCTCGCCACAACTAATCTGCCCTGATCATTTTCCAAATTAATCAAGAGTCCAGACAACCAATTACATGTTAGTCACATGACCAGGAAGGACTTAGCTTACAGTAATGATTGCAACACTTGATTAAAATCTAGTTTTAAATTTAGCAATAGATTAACTTAATGGAGAGGGACAGAAGGACCAAAACAGTTGTACTCAAGTTACTTCTACTTATCACTATAAAATTAACATAAGTTAAAAATAAATTGATACAGCAGAATAGTACATGAGTGCTAATGTCCATGAAGAGAGACTGTGTGCTGGACCCATCTCATGCTGCTGGGTAGACCATTAACCCTGCAGGACTCAAGAGGATAGAGACATCTGCCTTCTGCTGCAGTTACATGCTATCCATCAGGGCTGGAATTTCCATCAGCTTCTACTCTGCACACCATTTCCTATTTTCTCCAGTTCAAACCATTTTAATGTGTGGACGGGACTTGCACCAATCTTGAATTTACTGTGAGGCAGCCTGGCACAGAGCTACAGCAGTTGTTGGCTCCTGTCATTAAGAATGACCTCAGAGTGAGTGAGCGTTTCATCTTCAGCACTGCATCCTAGGTTATCTTCAAGGCTGCTAACTATTCCAAAAACCTTGGTCAGTCAAAATCCAAACAACTACTAGATGAAGAAGAGCAGTCTTACCATTCCTCAGACTTGACTTCTCAATGCTGGCTGCAGTTATGCAGAAAACAACATAAAAACAGCATGTAAAGTCCTCGGGCAAACAGATCTTTTCCTCGCAGGCAGCTACTATAAAGTTAGACCTGGGTGAAGCTGTTACACAGCTGCACTTACCACAGCAAGGAAGAAGTAAAAGTGCTGCCACATAGCTAAGATTTCCTCTTTTACATGACCAGCAATTTAGACATGTTTCATGCATAAAAAGCAGTAACCTCTCCACCACTGCAGCTACAAAAGCATGCATGAATGTGACTTGTTATGTATGATTCAAACTGTTCATACCATTTTTAAGTGTAGGAAGACTCTTAAAAAAAAAATCATCACTTTTACGTTTAAACATATCAATCCTTTGGTTAGTTGGCACATTTCTCACAAGCACATGTATGCTCTTATTCTTCCATTGCAAAAAGGCAGCTGCAGACCTCCAATCTCCAAACTACTTAACAGAATTAAGCAAGTGTTTTTCATTTTATAGAAAATGTCTTCCCCTTGTCAGTAATTCACAATTTGCAAAATCCATTCTGAAATCCTAACTTGTTACTTCTTCAAGGTAGGCAAGTATCTTTGTGTGCATGTATAAAGACGACACCTCATTGCATTTTCTTTCCAGCTACTGCTTTGTAGCAACCTGAACATTTAATACATATTTCTTTAAAGAAATTTGAGTGAATTTATTGTATAAAATTATGGTTGGCATGGTACAGAAAAGTTCCTTTTAATGCACATTTCCCATTGACTTGTACACAAATTTTACAAGTATCAAGCAAAATGCAAAAGGTTTAAGAACTATTTCCATACTACAAAAGTGTTCATATAGTGAAGTTACTCTGGTTACAAAGTGTCATGGAAATAAAAGCACTTCAAAATACATATTTGGGAAATGTTCTTCAATAAACAACACAACCTTAAGTTAGTTAAAAAAAAAAAAAAAAAAAAAAAAAGAAGAAGAGATAACCTCTTGAAAACACTATTGTTGATTTAGCAAGATAGAGCAAAGTTCGGAACATTTATTCAAGGATCGTTCTGTTTCAAGAAATAAAACACATTTTAACTGTTTAGTTCAGGAAGGGCTCAATCATACCACGATGACAAATAACGCCATCAAAAAGTAATCTGGCTCTCTTGTTTTCACACAGGAGCTGTCAGAGGCAGAGATGTGTAAATGAACACTTCCAGGTATATGCAGATTGCCTTCAAAAAGAACAAACAAACGAAATAAAAATGATTAAAGAGGAGACAATCTGAACATCGTTACATAACTCGTTTGGTTCCTTAGGTCACAAGGCCCACAAACAGCCGTCCACAAAGGATAAGCATTTGAAGAGCAAAACTGAACTTCACTACCAAGGATTGCTCAGCTGTCGAGTTACCGTACATCCTCGCAGTAAGACTGCCAAAGGCCATCAAATCTCTGCTTCCCAACTACCTTGAAGACTTGCTGCTCTCCTGCTATACGCCACAAGACAAGAATGCTCGGACCCTACAAACAACCTTACAAAAAAGGAGGCACAGTCGTGTTCTGTTAGAAAATAACACAGTCTTGAAGACTGAAAGCATCCTATAAATCTTACACAAAATAAATACAAAATAAGCAATACATTGCATTGTTTTTGTACCAGATGACTTGTGGGTGTTTGAGCAATTGAATGTTGGCATGTGTATCTACGGGAAACACACATACAAGAGGTCACCTTCAGGTGCTGTTGTTTTCCTTTTACCTGCACAAACATACACACACATACGCACACAAAATACTATCAGGTTATCTAGTCTGTTCAAATGCAGTGAAAAAACAGTCCATAGCACATGTAAAAGGAGCGTTATCTAATACAGTGTTGTCTTGCAAAAATGGAGTCAGAATTCCTGAGCCTCAGAAACATTACTACTTATTTTTCCAAAGAAAACCCCTAGTTTTCATTTCTTCACTCTGATGAAATTTATAATAGATTGCATCTTTAAAAAATGTAAAACTTGTAGAAAAAAAAACACATCAACTGATTTTTAAAGCTTTTTAAAGGGAGGGAGGGATTCACTTACAAAATAAAGGCCACGTTCATGTAAGATTAGTCTGCTAGTATCTCATTTTGTATTTGAGGGAGAGATTTAGCTCCCTGGTCTGGAAGCCTTATTATATGCAGGCATGTGAGCTGAAAAACACCATTCCAATTAAACTATTTATAAATAGGATTAACATGGAACAGCCCTTTGTTACAATCACCACGATGGTAAAACCAATGCAACAGTTGGTTAATTCTTGAAGTTTCCTTCAAACAGAAGCTCCTTCACTGCAATCTATTATAACATCTGCACTTTCCCTTTTACTTTGCATATTACACAGTGTAACTTAAAATGTTATTTAAGAGCACTTCAGTCCCACCATGTAGGATTTAAGCTTGTGTGACTACATATGCATGGCTCTACAACATTTTCAGTGACTTACAAAAATACATTCAACCAAAAATTTATATAGGGTTCTCTCCCCACCCTCAACCCCTGAAATCAAAAATGAAGGAAAAGCCAAATGGTCCCATCGTTACCAAAATAATACACTCCAAGGTCTGGAAGCAAAAGCACATTCAAGAATACTGTACATAGAACTGCATACTTTCTCATTCATCTTTATCAGTAATAAAGTTCTACTGCATATAATTATTCAGCCTTATAAATAATGCTAAGCAGAAAAATATTTACCTCTGTGCTACTTTTCTCAGTTTATAGAAGCATTTTTCTGTTTATAGGAACAAAGAAAAAAAAAACAAAAAACTAAAGTGCAGACTACAGGCCTGATAGGCATAATAAATGACCAAAGGTGCAGCCAAACTTGCATTTACATCTCAAGTTACTTCACCGTGTTATTTTTCTTGCCAGAAGTCACCCCGTGTGCAATTCAAGAGCTGGTCAGTTGGTTTGTGCCATAGTACAACCTGTAACCATTTGAAATATCATTTTAAAAGCTAATTGAATTGTCCATAGACATTTCTAGGCAATAGCTTAGGTTCACAAAAACCTTATTTTATTAATACTTGAAATCACACAATATTGACACCTCCCCCAGAGAACGCTACTGTCCTTTTGTTGCAGTATGTTGTCGAACCACTGATGCTGGGCTGGCAGTCTTTAACAAGAGATGTCTTCATCTCCATCTCACACGCTACAATAGCTGCATTCAGTTCCACTTGAGCTCGGTGAACAACATAAAACATAAGTCCTATGCTTATAACAATCTGCAAATAAAACAAAGGAGTGATGTAGGCCATATCAACCAAATACAAAGCGACCGTTTTTAATGAAACAGTAAGTCATCAGTGTGAAGACTCATAGAAGCACCTACTGACTTAATGCTTCAAAGGCAACAGACTGAAAAGGGAAATGAACTAACAAGTCAACACATACTGCTTCTAGCATACCAACACAAAGACATTCTATAGAACTTAAATAATGATTTGAATTAAAAATACAGTTTGTTTCTTCCCATTGCCATTCACATACTTGTTAGAAAGCAATTGCTTTGCTGCATCTCTTAGCAAAAATAATTCCACACAGAAATGGATTGATGGCAGTGGAAATCACAAGAGCTGTTCCCACGTGCCTAGTGAATAACAGGTTAACATTTTAATGGTTCTTAGCAATTTGCCAAACACCAGAGGCAGAATGATGTAGAAAAAAGGAAATAAAACCTCTTGTCTTTCCCCTGTTACCAGGGAAGATAGCAGAAAGCAGCAGCGTTGTTGTGCTTCTCAGAGGTCAGGACAAAACAGGGCAGAACCACAGTTTCTGAACAAGGTAGCAGTAAGTACAGCAGCTTGTACTTAGTTTCTGGAGGATGGCTCTGGGGATGCTTGTTATTTTCTTAAGGAGGAAATACTATCTAAAAGTAGGACTTCAGTTTATGTTTTTTTGCTCTGAATTGTATTACTGAGAATTTTTAAAGTTTCACCTCTAAAATTAACAAGAATAAATTGGGACACATTTTGCTTAGAAATTACACGTTCAAGGACATTAGCATGGACTACATTCCCATGTGTTTCAATAACACATCAGTTACTCTTTTCAGCACAGATCCTCCTTAACAAAAATAAAATCTTCAAAGAAAATAGAGCTGTCTCATAATAACAGTCCCTCTAAAAGCAAGTAAATTATTCCACCTTTTTTTAAAATGTTTTAGGAAACCAACCAGAATCAGCAACGACTATGACCAGTATAATTGCAGCTGGAAGGCATATGGGAGGTCTTGAGCCCAAACTGCTGCTCAAAATGGTGCTAGCTGCCAGATCAGACCAGGCTGCTCAGGACTTCTATACAATCAGGTCTTGAAAACATTCAAGAATGGAGACCTCACCATGTCTCTGAGCAGCCTGCTCCACTGCCTGTGATAAAAGCTATTCGTTAAAGGCCTCAAAAGGCTGCTGATGTCAAAGTCAAATATACACTTGCAGACATCATGTTCTGAGCACACAGGAAAAATCCTATTCTAAAAGCTTACACAAATATTTAAACTTGACAGGTTTGAGAAATGGTACTACCAGTAGGCTCAGGTTCCCTAGACAAATCATTTAAAAATATAAACGCGTTGGCAACCATGAAGTATGATTAATTTTTACAGCTGTTTACTAAATCAAAGTCCCATCAAAGCCACACAGCCAGGCAAAGCACCAGACAGATGCCAGGAGAAACTGGGAGAACATAAGCAATTTCTCCACTAATGGACTTATTCAGTCAGCTCTTATGTACAGTTGTCAAGGTGGCAAGCACATCTATTTGGACATTCAGCCCTTTCAGCTGGTGCTTACCTGACCAACGGTTAACACTACAGCATCGTTCTAAGAAATCATGATGGGGAAGGAAAAAAAAATGGGAAAAAAAAAGAGGAAAGACCACTAAAAACTACTAACCCCACTGTTCCTTTGAATTGTCTGTAATTGGGCAGAACAAAGCCCAGTTCTTTGCTTTAGCTCCCACACTGCTACTCCTCTCTGCTGTCTCCAAATTGCACATATCTCTCAATTTCCAGCTGAAAAAACCTGCAAAACCATTCAGCTCTGTGGCTTTCTATGCCATCTCTGCTGACGTACAGTTGCTGGATGTGAAGCATCAAGGTTTAGTGGGCAATAGTGGTGGCAGATTGACAGTTGGACTACATGATTCTAGAGGTCTTTTTAAACCTTAATGATTCTATAATTCTAACACATAAAATAACATTTCACAACCAAAACATAAGTTGATCAAGTAGACAGTGACTTTCAACCGTATCTATTGAGGTTGCTTACTTGACAATCACAAAGGCATTTTAATACTCAAGCCTTTTTGATTAAACCTTTTAATTGCATATAAAAGTTTAAGAATGTTCAAGTTTCAGGAGAGTGATGGGTTAAAAGGAGTTACTTTATCAGTGTTGTTAAAGATCAGCTTTGTGATTGTAAACACTGAGGAAGATAAATGACTGCAGAATGAACTAGAAATCAGCAAACCGTATCAACTGCTGGTCAAACACAGTGTGGAAATGACAACACTGTCAGATGAGGTTTTAATATATAATCTTGTTCTGATATATTCTTCACCTTTATGCTTACAACAGTCTCAGACTTAAGGCCTGTCCCTAGGATTTACTAATTATTTCATCAGCAAAGCTCATGAAAAGGTGCAAGACGTATCTCACAAACTCGTTTCCTTGCAAAAACAGGATATTTTGATTGAGGCATTAGTAATATCATATTTCTACAGCACCTAAAGACCTAGCATAATTGTGAGCACTCAATGTCAGCAGTGAACACGTCAGAGGTACTGGATTTAAGAACTCAAAGCACACTGCTTTACAGCTGAGAGGCCATTTTCTTCAGTGTAAGGGTGCTTTAACAGGTCTAAAATTCAGCAGCAGATTACTACAGAGGGTAACAGGACAGAACTCAGAAAGCACCATGTGAGTTCTGTTTTGTATCACATGAAGTACAAAAAAATTAAATACTTTTAACAGAAGAAAACAAAACTGAAGCAAAACAGTACATTGGAAACTCATTTGGGTTATCAAGCAGTCATTACACACAAACCTATGAAAAATTAGTATCATAGGCTTTGCACAACTAGTGATAATACCAACATAAATCAAACACTTCTCAATGCCCTGCTACTCAGCCACAGTTGCTTAGCTCTCAGACTACAAGAGGTTGGCTGCCTCAGACTAGGGTGTCATTGTGTCTCCAGGTGACAGCTCTTAACACTTGAACAAGCATCCCTCCAAACCTCCTACAGCCCACTTCTTTTAGACTGGAAGTGATACAATCTAAAAGAAGAACCTGCAAAGCTAAATCTTTGTATGCCTCATACACATTTCCAGGAGCACACGCTCTCCAAAGTAAAGATTCAATTACTTGAAGAGGCAGTGCTATAGGAGTGAAGCTTCCCTACTATCTCTAGAAGCAAAATTCTACTTCAAATCTCACTGGTACAGAAGACAAGCAAAAAACTGAAAAGATAAAAACATACACTGAAACTGAAGACCGTATCCAACACTCACTGCTTACTGAAACAGTCACAAACAAAGTCACAGTAGCAACATTACTGGTATCATGATGGTTTATGAAAACCATTGTTTTCACATACCTGTAAACTGAATATAAAATAGCCACTAACACTTTGTTCTGCGATCACGTCCTCCATGGTGCGCAAGGTAGTTCCCAAGTATGAGTTCAGGAGCTGAGTAGGAAGCAGCCCAACTGAAGAAGCCATCAGGTAGTTGGGCAGCGACAGATCTGTAACCTAAGTTAAAACAAAATGCGTAAGATGCCACATACCATGACAACACAGCCCACGTGCACAGCCAACTACACTACTTTCCCCAGAATCACAGAATGGCACGGGCTGGAAGGGACCTAAGGACCATGAATCTCCAACCCCCCTGCCATGGGCAGGGCCACCAGCCTCCCCATTTAATACTAGACCAGGTTGCCCAGGGATGGGGCATATAGGCCAGAAAATAAAAACAATTTGTTTCTTCACTTAAACTTTCCACAGCCAGTGAACCTACAGTGATTCATCAGAACAGTATGTGGCTAGTTTTCATTTTGTCTTTTAGAATTTACTGCATTTTATTTTGCTTCATCTTACATTATACAGCACCTCTGCACAAGTATTTAACTAAGGATATAATTACAGCGTTCGTTTAAAATATTTACTTTGTTATGGTGAACAGAGCCCTGCAATTCACGAGAATTTGAAGAAAGTACTTTTGATAAAGTGAAAGCCTAAAACAAAAACTGATACAAATATAGCCTGCTTACTTTGGGTTTTGCATATACAGAAGCCAAAGGCAATCATTCAAAATTTTGCTGTATTAAATATGACCAGGTAAACAGAATAGCAGTGTGGCAGGCCAGTCAGATACAATTTGCCTCTGCAGAGGAAGTCATAGAGCTCACTAAGATATAAATTAATTATGGAAAGATATACAATGGCTGCTCTGAAAGTAATGTCTCCTGATAGTCAGCCCACAAAAGGAGAGGCAGATGGTGGTGGTATGGCAGTAGAGGCTGAACCTTCCCACCAATATTCTGCTACGTGCTGTTGCCATAGGCAGATGGCAGCAGAGGAGGAGTCTGACAAAAAGGCACAGAATCTGGCAGAAGTGCACATGGAGCAAAGGTGTATCACTAAACTCCTCTATGCAGAAAAAATGGCATCCATTGACATTCGATATTTATTGAATGTTATGGGGACCAAGAAGTTGAGCACGGTGAGGCAGTGGGTGGTGTGTTTCAGAAGTAGTGACAGTGACATGAAAGACAAGTCACGTTCTAGACAGACACATATTGCTGTCACACCACAAAATGAAGAGCATCTCCATCAGCTCACCCACGCAAATTGGAAGACTACAACATGGAAACTGTGTACAGAACTGAATATGACCCTCAGTGAATTGGAAATGGTGGCAGCAGTGTTGGAATACTGAACAGTTTGCACCAGGTAGGTCCCTCCTGTGCTCACACAAGAACAGAAAGAACACCATAAGCAAGTTTGTCTAGACCTACTGAATCAATACGAGGCTGAAGGTGACAGTTTCCCTAGATTGCATCATTACTGGTAATGAGACATGTTGTCCCCATTTTGAACCTGAGTCAAAATGACAGACCAAGGAACAGTGACATGCAAATTCCCCATCTAAGAAGAAGTTCACAATGCAGCTCTCAGTGGCTGAAGCGATGAGTACTGCCTTTTGGGATGGGAAAGTGGTGATCCTTCTGGATTTCCTGGAACCCGAACCATCAAATCTGATAATTACATCATGACATAGACTTAACTGAAACTCAAACTTCCTGAGTCAGGCCAGAGAAGGAGCCAACGTTTCTACTGTAGCACAATAACACAGGCCTCATACCAGTCTGAAGACTGTGGAACACTTGGCCAATCTCAGCTGGACTGTCTTACCACACTCATCACATCGTCCAGATTTGGCACTTTCTGACTTCCACCTGTTTGGGCTGATTAAACATGGACTACATGTGTAACCTTTTCCAAGCAATGACACCATCACAGCAGCTGTGAAACAGGAGGTCACCTCTGTTGGCATAGATTCTTTTGTATGAGTGCAGCATGTAAACCCTTGTTCATCTCAGGCAAAAATGCATACCTAATGGTGATGCTGAAAAATAGCGAACTGTAGCTGAGAATTTCTTTTACCAGACCGAGTTATTGCGCTCTCGTATCTGTTGTAGTTCCCATGAAAATAAACAGGAGACATTACTTTCAGAGCAACCCATGTAGACAGGCATCATGAAGATTCTCAGCCAAAGGTATTTAGTATCAAACTTGATTAGTGAACAAAACAATACACACAACTATAGCTTTTCTTAATCTTTCCTGGGAAAAAAAAAAAGATGACAAATACTTCAAGATATTTTCCCCTTTTTTTTCCAAGAAATTTCTGCTCTTAATTGGCATGGGGACAGTTTACATTGTACAGTTTACATAACTGAGCTGCTAACTCAGTACAGCAACCACTCGGAAATTTTAGATTTAACATTCAGGAGTTCAAAACATATTTATGCAGGAAAATGAAATCAGAAGGAAACAATGGGTTAAAAACAGTATGACTGTGAAAAAGGTCTGGTGCATTTTCTAGACAATTCAGTTGATCACAAAATAATAAAACAAGTACTAATTAAGAACAGCTCCTAACGCTGGGAGACTACAAGATTATTGACCTTGAAAGTTTTATACAACGTTGAAGACAAAAGAATAGCAGCAAAGTTACTGGCTTCATCATACTATTCTTAAAATAAACTTTGATTACTGTGAGAGTAACTGTCAGATTCTTGCAGCTCTAAGCACTATCAATGGAAAGCTTTGGGGGGAAGGAAGGGCAGTGGAAGAGGAAAATGCAATGAAGCATAAAGATCAAGAGTAATTCACTGGAACAAGATCCAATCAGGTGATTCCAATCTTCACTCCGCAAATGACAGCTCCCATGGACTTAAATACACAGCAGTAATACAAATAATAGATTTCTCACTCTGTGCAAGTTTAATGTAGATTTGTAATGAAAAAACACTACACAATCATGTCAGAACTTCATATTTGACCAATACTTTCAGAAGATTAAAAAAAAAAAAAAACAAACATAGTAATTTGGGCCATGTAATAATGATGCACAACTGAAACTTCCCTTATCGCCAAGGGAATGAAGGAAGTGCTATTAAAAGTCTGTGAAATGCTAGCATTGGGACAAGATTTCCTAAGTAGGACACTGTCATTAAATCTAATGGAACTGGGAAACTTCCAAAAACTGTTTTAATACTCCTAGTCACCTCTTTCATTTCTGAATATATATTAAGGACACTCTAGCAGCAGAGGTACACGTTTGCAACTCTCATCTGTCCTAAAGTAACTGGGCCACAAAAGAGACTGCTTCCAAATGAAGGGACTGCCAATGAAAATGCTGGATGGTGCCTTCTCATTCCGCTAAGATGAAACCTAAGAAGAGGAAAGGAAGATTTTATTTGTGGGTTTTTGATCTACCCTTACCCCAGAAAGGTCAGGAAACAGATGGTGTCATTGCTAAGTAACCTGACAAATTTTCAGTAAAATCTACAGCTTAGTCTATCTTTCCTTCTATAAAACTTCACCTGTCTAACTGCAATCCGCACTGCGAAACTGACAGAGACTAACAGGACACTGCATCTAGGGAGAGCTCATGTCAGAAAAAATAACAGTGAAATCCCAAAGCAAGCATGAATACAACTGCATAACAGGCCACAGCAATATACTGAAACAAACTAAGAACTAACTACTGTGGTAATGGGAGCATTAGCCAGGAACTCTCCCACTGAGATTTGGAAAGGCTTTCTGTGATAAAACTTTGGTGCATTCTTTACAGCTGACCCTTTTGTTTCATTTCTGTCAAAAAGCACACTTTATGCCAGGACACTGTTTGGGAGTCACACATCTTTGGGGGATTCTCTACCCTGAATTTATGAACCCACATGTTTCAGATCAGGTAGGTTTGGAAACTGAGAGCAAAAAGACAATTCCAATGTTTTTCTATTCTCAAGAAATTTTAAAAAGTGCAGAATAAAAGAAATTGAATTATAGCTATCAACTTTCCAACAAATAAGCAGCTTGCTGCAAAGCACATAACTCTTCTGGAAGTCTTACTTCACTGTGCAGTATTTCAGAAATATTTCACTTATTTCTGACATACATTCAGGTATTAAAATTTCTAATAAGCTTATATCTGCCACGCAAAGGCCCTCTCAGAAAGGAAAAAGTAAGTTATGAATTCTGATCTAGGCTACACCAGGGACTGGAGATAATCAGATTGCACAAACCTAGTAGAAGAGACCCATTAGCTGGATGAAGTGATAACCTGCACGCTGTGCCTCCTTACAGACCTACCTTCAAAACATTCAGAGCTGCAAAGGGGAGAGAGCTGAACAAACACTTCAGTCGGGGTTATCAGCACTGCCCTGGCCATGCTGGCGGCATGCTAGAGGACCAACAAATATGTGAAACCCACTTAAAAAACGTACAAACACTCTTTCACCTTACAAGTTTCTCGTTCGTCTAGAAAGGCACATGAATCCACTGCTCCACTGCTCCCAGCACTTAGTGCTTCCACAAACAGCTGCAGAACGGACTTAAGAAGCAAGGCTTTGGTGACTGGCTGGTGAGAAATGAGCAAATTCCTGCTTCTTAAAAAGAAATTTTCTTCTTAACGCAGTTTGGAAATACGTGATCCTGTCACTAGTCAAGTGCCAGAACACTCCCTTCCCTCCTTCCCTTTCTACATTCCTGTACAATTCCCAAAATACACATCATGAAACAAGGGCTTGGAGAAACCCATCCAGCCTCTCTCAGCTCAAGGCTACCCCTGGTCCCTAGTCTTCAGTTGTCACTTCCTACATTTCCTTTAATTTTCTTTTCAGTTTACTCATAAACATGCACAAATAAAACAAGCATAAAACAGACCGCTGGAAAATTCAAGATGTTTACATTTTCTCAAGACTCCAGTTCACTGTTTTTTTACTATTAAGAACAAATCTTTTCAAAATCACTGCGCGAGCTCTGAACACAGGAAATGGGTGGATGGTTCGGACACCCAAAACCCCCTTGCATTTGAAGATTTAAATTTAAAGTAAGTCAGATTTCAAAAAATCAGCATAGCTAAGTCTGCACTGATAGAACTCTGAATTCCACACTCAGTTGAAACTTCACTCTCTGTGAGAAACAGTTCCGAAATCCTAGATTTGATGCAACATCCTTATTTTTTGATAACTTAGTAGCTCATGTTAGACGTCCTCAATTAAAAACTGAGCACTGTGTTTTATTTGACTATGCTGTAAAATAATAGATCACCCCATCACCAGCATGGACTCAAAAAGGTGTACCACATGTCCTTCCTTCCTTTCTCCTTTAAGATGATAAGAAAAACAATCATACTGCAACTCTAAAATAATAAACTATGTAGGTATATTTGTCTAGAAGTAGGAAAGAAAAACAGGCTTTCACCAGGCTCAAACTGAGCTTACTTTTGCTGATGTACTGCACAGCTCTCAATCTGCACCTGACTGCTCTGCCCAAAACACGATGCCCCTTTCATATAGGAGGACTTTGTCCTCTACCTTCTTTGCAATACAAACATTAATATACTAACTACCATAAAGAGCAACTCAGGCAAGGCTGCCTGAAAATACAACTTGTCGTCCACTCTAGTTGCTTCAAAAACATAGGTGCTCTAAAATCACTAAGCTCTTCCATGCATTTTGCTACAGAGCATCCCCATGCTTCTTTCTAACAGTCCCGAAAGTCCGAGAGCAGACTAATGCCGCTGAACAACGCGCCTCAGAACCTGCCTCGACAGGGACGGGAGGCCACCAGAAGTGAGCAGGGGGCCGTTTCCCTGCCGCCAAAGAAACCCAGGGCCACAGCTCCCCGCAGCCGAGACTCACCGCGAAGACGGCGTTCTGCAGCCCGAAGGGGATGGGCGTCAGGCGCGCCAGGGCCACCACCTTGAGCCCGCTGCCGCCCTCCACCACGCGGACGACGGCGCTGAGCGTCGTGCTGCTCTGGATCCTGTCCAGCGCCCAGCGGGCCAGCAGCCGCCGGCAGGCCACGTGCGCCACTAAGGTGCCGACGAGGACGCCCAGCACCATCAGCCCCATGCCCAGCACGAAGCCATAGAGGTAGCCGGCAGCCACGTTGAGCAGAATGTAGCCCCAGCCGCAGGGGAACGACACGACGATGAAGCCCACGGTGAAGAGCAGCACACCGGCAAGGCTGTCCAGGCTCTCCGCCCACAGGAGCAGGTCGCGCAGGTACTGGCGCACCAGGGCCAGCGAGGCGAAGCACAGGGCCGCCAGGACGCACACGCTAAGGCAGCTCTTGCACCAGCAGGTGCCCAGCAGGCAGCAGGAGCAGCGCCAGCCGCGGGCCTCGGTCAGCCCGGGCCCGCCGCCGCCCGCCTCGGGCAGCGGGCACAGCAGCAGCTCTGCCGGCGGCAGCCCGCCCTGCTCCGCGTAGGGCCCCAGCAGCAGCCCGCCGGCGTCCGCCGGGACGAAGCCGCCGGGGTCGCCGCCGCCTCCCGCCGCCGTGCCGGCCGCCCGGGACAGCCAGCGGCCCAGCTCCTGCCGGGCACCCTGCCTCACGGCCCGGGACAGCAGCTGCAGCGCCGCGGCCCCCGCACCCCACATCCCCCCGAGCCGCCCGACCCCGTCGCTCCCCGCCTCCCCTCGCAGCCTGCGGGCAGGGGCGGCCGCTCCCTCATCGCCTCGCCATGGCCCGCTCCGGGCGGCGGAGCCCGGCCAAGCGCCGGGCGGGGGCGGGGAAGCGGCGGCGGGAGGGCGGGAAGGAGGGGGCTCTGCGGGCGGAGGGCCTCCCCCTCGGCTGCGGCGTTAGGCGGCGGCGCCGCGCTGCCCGGCCCGGCAGTCGCAGCGGCGGCCCTGGCGGAGCGCGGGTCCCGGCGGGCGGCAGCGGCGGTGGCAGCAAGCGCGGCAGCGGAGCTCCATCTCCCGGCACGCGGGGGCTCCCGCTCTGCTCCGGGAAGCGCCTGGCGGAGCGGCCGTGCCGATGTGGCAGCGCGGGCGCCGCTCGCAGCGGATGGGGGAGGAGGCTGCGCTCCGGCGGCGTCAGCGCCCTGCTCCGGTGCGGGGCTCGGTGCGGCCCCGCGGCCCGCCCCCGGCCCGCCCCGCTCCTGGGCGGGCGGGGTGCGCCTCAGCGGGGGCTGGGGTGGTGCCTCCGTGCGGCGACGCTGTGTGGGACGGCGCCGTGTTGCCCGCCCGCGCCGTTTTGCTGCCCTACTCTCAGAGCGTCTTATCTGGGGAAGCAGCTTAACCGAGGGGGAGTGAGCAACGGTGCTCGATACCGGTCCGCCAGAGCGGAGGCTGAGGCAACGCCGTCTGGCCGGTCGTTCCCAGTCCCCAGTGCTTGTTGGCACCTCGTCTTCCTGTGTTTGGATGCTGTTCCACAAACGCCCGGTTTTTTGCAACTCCAGAAGAGAGAGGAACCCTGGCTAGCCAGCACTTGGGCCTGGGGCTGAGGGGTGACGGTGAAGCCCCAACAGTCCCAACCTGGGATTGTTGACCTGTTAATCTGTTGACAGGCTGTGCAGGGGGCAGCTCCGGGTCTGGGCATTCCGGTGTTGCGCTCGGCCACCACACGCTGCTTGCAGAAAATGGGGCAGCCTGGCTGACCTGGCCACTCATCCTGCACCCCTGGGCTTAGGCATGCTTTGGGACGATTTGTGCTTGAATTTTGAGCCACTGCGAAAAAGAATGGATAGGTCTGAATAAGCAGCAGAGGCATTCTTCAGAGGGTATTAGAAGCCATGCTTCTTCTCACAGGTCTCTGTTGTCCCGGTGTTACTAATGATAGCAGCAACACAATGCGGAAAGGGTTCTGTTTTCTCCACAGCATTTAAAAGTACAATGTGCTCCGGTGGAGTTTTATTCTTCTGCTGGGAAATTTGCAAGCACAAGTACAATGAGAATGTGTGGGAGTTGTAAAGGTTAAAGGACGATTAAATAAAAAAAAAAAAAAAACAACACCCAGATCTCCAAATGAAGAACGTGTCTTGAAGAACATACCACGGATGCATTCACTTGCAAACTATGCCACTAGAAATTCTATAGCCTGCACAATACCACAAATCAATCTAGGGAAGTGACAGCTGAATGAAGTCATCCTAGCTTCAGGGAAGCTGCAGACAAATACCTACAGCACAATCAGTGCTGGTTGTTTTTGTTTGTTTATTTGTTTCTGTTATCTGTATCTGAAAGCAATCATTTGATTTTGTGTGAGCTCTTTATTCACAACGCAAACACAGTACATCCATAAAAATAATGGCAAGAAAGCTAAGCATCCCTTCTGGTACAGGATGATGGGCCTGCTTACACATTCAGCAGGGCGTGTCAGCAAATGATGGGCAGATGATAAGGTACGTTTGGTAGAACAAGAGGACAAAATATTAATTTCTGCTTTTATACTAAGAACACATATCTTATAACAGGCAGGTTCAGATTGTGTATATTTCTGTTCAGTATGGCTGCTTCCATGGATAGTGACAAAGCCCGAGTAGAGAAATCAATCACAGTTGTATGTTTTATACTTCCCACTTTTCTCTGTGTAAAGAGCATAACCCTTTACTCAGAGCTGGAGTGGATCCCTTGCTGCCACTCCTCCATGTTACAGAGTTCTGTATTTGTAACTGCGAAAAGCAGATCAGAAAGGTTCTGTAAGTGTATGAAGAACACAATGGTCCATCAAAGTGGCAGTGTTGATATTAGATTCCAACCTACGAAATTATTTTATCTAGTGCCTTAGTGGAGATTCTTCTACTGTTCCTAGGAAGATGAAGGATGGAATTCATTTGTCTCATCCATTACTCATCATTTTACAGATCCTTGGAGCAACAGCTCAGGAAGCAAGGACAGCACACAGTCAGATTGTGGGTGACATGGAGCATGGTCATGAAGCAGGAGCTGCAGCTTCATGGATAAACATTCTGGCAAGACCACAGGGATTCAGCAGGCATCCAGCAGAGACTTCCTGCAGGCAGAGCCAACAGCCACAAAGGCAAGGTCACAGCTGGCTCCTGTGAGTCCTGCTAGCATGCCTGTCTGCTTATCATCTGCAGGGGGCAAAAAGCAGCTGCGCCCTTGAAAAGCAGCCAGCTATTGGAAAAAAATGGCCCACCTTTCATACTTAGTAGTCAGAGAATCATGAAGTGTTCCCGTACTGTGGGTGATGCAGTGGCAGTGCACTGTGATAAGGCAAGATCTGTAAGTAAAAAAAACAGTTATCATTTAATAGACCAATCATTTCATGTTGGAAAAGTAAAATAAGGCAAGTTCTTGAGCTCCTGGAGGAACACTGTGTGTTCCAAAAGATAGTGCTTTTTGTTTGGCTTTTTTTTTCTTCCAAGAAAGTTAATTGATTTAGTAATTTCCAGCAAATGCTGTCTAACCTGTTCTTTAAAAGAACAATTCTTGCCCTCTATATAAGTAATTGATATAAAAGCTTGTATTTGCACCAACTGGAACTACTCCTATTCTTTCTCAGATGGAAGTACTTGGGTTCTCTATAAACTTATTTGGATTAAATTCCTCTCTGTCTCTATATTTTATTTTGGTTTGCCAGCAAGTCAGTCTAAAGCCTGAGGAGCACTGGGTGACAGGCAGATGATTATTCTGCTTCAAGAAAAGATGTTTCTCTAGGGAGGAGCTCTCATGATGAGACAGGTTGTGCTGGAATTTTCATCATGTGGGGCTCTGCCATGTCCATGTTATAGAGCTAGAGTATCTGCTTGATCCAAGGAATGCTCTTCTGCGTTCTGCAAGTCTGCTGCTCCTATGTCATTTCTCATTTCAAGGAATATTAGCACAGAAGTACAGGCAGCAAAGTGTGAGAGTCATGGTACTGAAATGAAGGAATGACTTGATTAGGCCCATGTGTCTGGTCCCTGCTGAATGGGGTGCTGAAGCCAGGGAGTAGGATACACTGAGCCACAACTCACAAACCAACGTAATTCTGAGTTATGAACTGCCAAGAACTTCTCATAGTTATTTCTGAATTACAGTTTGTGAGAAAGAAGCAGGAGTCTTCTGAGAAGATAGTGTTAAGCACCACAGCTCCAATTAGCTTCTGTGCTGCTTCATTCTGTCAGAATTAATGTGAAAGTCTTTTTGTAGGAGCTGCAAAATTGACTAATTTACGTTAGGAGTCACTGGGTTTTGACTCCAGTAGTCAAATCTCATACAATTCAAAAAATTGCTGTGTTTATTTTTTATACATGTTTGAATATAAAAATTTGGTTAATACAACAATTTTACCAAAAAAAAAAAAAAAAAGCAAACCACATTTCATTAGACTCATATATGAGGCATGAAAGAAAGTTCAATGCATTAAGCAAAGTGCTGAAACATTTACATTGAGGAAAGATTCTGAGACATCACTGGTGTTAGATGAAATACAGATAGTGACACACCTTAAACAAGCCCACTTTAGTGGAACTATGGAAATTTGTGATGGTTTACAGGATTATACTCCTTGGAATGTTCTAGCCCAGAAAAGTAGATGAGAAATACTTTCCTACATGTAAAACAAACATACAGTTCTGTGTTTGGTACATTTATAGCTGCTTTCAGCTGTTTTAGTAATGGAAAATTTATAGTAATTCATCTTAAAGACTCACGTGGGATTTTTCCTTGGAAAATGATATCCTTATGTTAACAGAATAAATTTCCATGTATTTTTCATTCCATGACAGAACTGCTTTGTTGGCAAAAAAAAAAGAAAAAAAAAATTAGTCAGGGGCAATTGGTGCAATGTAGTGTAGCTAGCCTGAAGTTTGGAAATCATAGAATTTGTCTTGAGGACTGGGTGAGCACGGCAACCCTAGGAAATGGTAAAAAATAGGTAGGAAAAAAATACCACATACTACATTTGTATTCTTTTCCCAAATTGCACTGTGCAAAGGTGGGATGTACCTCAAAATGAAACCACGGGATTATTTACTTTTACTGGGGCCACAAATTGGGAATCTGTGTTTTCATGCAACAGAACATCTGATGCAGTTCTTGAGAACATCATGTTTAGAAATGCTATTTTGTTTAGAAGGTGTTCTTTCAGAATGGATTTTGGATGTTATGAAATAATGCACAGTGAGCAAAGAATATTTAAGAAATAGGAATTGTTTCAGTAAAGTAATTTAGTGAGGTTGTTCACATGCAGTCTATTCTCCACTTAAAAGTGACTAAAACAAGAAACGTATGTAAATGTATCTATAATGATGCTGTAAATGGGAGGAGCTTAGGAAAAGCGTAATGTTAGCATATCCCTAGTATTGTGTTCCCACACATTCGTGGCTTTCTAGCAGTATATGCTGATCTGTTTCAACAACGTATCACATTCATTTTGGTACACCTGGAACACTTAATCCAATTCCATGTGTGAAACATGTTTTTGCTGTTTCCATGGCAAGGGTAGAGCTCCAGCAGATTATCAACTGGAGGTCAGTTTCTCAGAATGTTTTTGGACTGGTGGTTTTAGTAAAAGTATTTGACATTAAAAATTAACCAAAGATCTAGTGACTTAACAGCACAGTAATATTTGACTGAGTTTTGCTGTTAAGCACTGTCAAGCAGTTTTAACATTAGCTTCAAGACAGCACTGAAGCAGAACATTGTATTTGAGTTTGTGGTTGGATAAACAAACATTTAAAAGTTTGTTGGTATAAAGCAGGCTATTGATCTTGGTTACAGCAGTCAAAGATCAGAAAGAAGCTCAGGGGATTAATTTTTATTTTTTTTTATGTTGTCTTGATTCATAATTATCTTTTACATAGCAAAGTTTGAGCAGCGCTTTCCCATCTTTGTTGTTACTCCTTTATCTGAAAAACCACAGTGTGGTAAATGCTGGCAGACACTGAGCTGTTGTCATGCCTCTGAAGAAGAACAAGGATTAAAGAATTCCAACTTTTAAAATCAATAGCAGAATTCTTGTTGAAGTGTAATCTTATAGCAGGCACTATTGCTGCAACAAAGCATAATTATCAATCTGCATGTTACAAGCCTGGTTGTAGTACAGCTATTAAAATATTTTTCTTAGATTCTAGATGGACAAACTAATAAGTTTCAAACTTATCTGAAGGAACATTTATATTCTCCATTCAGTGGCATAAGATGCCACTGAAAACATGATTTGATGCCTAATTTGCTTCCCATTCTAATTATTATGATCCTATCCCCATGTGAATGAGCATCTGAACCCAGAAGTCAGGGTCTGGTAGGCTGCTGTGTTGTTTAAAACAGCGGGAAATTACAACTGTGTTTGAAAAGTGGTTGCCAGTCTCTTCTAAGTGATCTCACCTCTTAAGTGCTGAGACTGAGAAATAGAAAGTGCAGAAGACTCCACTTCTTTCCTGCTTTGTCTGTGCTCTGGCAGTTGAGAGCACGCAACCATGAGGCTCACAGTAAAGATTTTGCCAAACACTTGAAGTATCGTCGCTTTCTTCTGAAGGATTCAGAAGTCCTTGGCAGGCTTAGCAGGTACTCGGGAACTCCTGAGCAGTGCTTCATTTCAAGCAGCATAGGTGATAGACACACAATACAAACAAAAAGGATGGATAGATGAGAGAATGAGAGATGACAGGACTTCAGGAGAAGATGTTGATAAAAAAGGCATGTGAAAAAGGGCCATGTATTTT